AAAAAAAAAACAAACAAACAAACAAACAAACAAACAAACAAACAAACTATCCACGCTCCTACTCTCCCATTCCTTCCTACAGTCTTCCCCCGAATACAACGTACGGTCATTATAGCTGAATTTAGACTGAAAGATACCCCAGATTCAGCTATAAGGACCGTACGTTGTATTCGGGGGAAGAAACGGCATGATGGGCATCATCACCTTTTTGTCCGCCCAGACTGTAGGGACATTCTCCAAATTCGACGCCCTAAGTTAAGTTCCTCAAAGGGTCTCTCTGGGTAACGAAATTTGCAGGCTGGTTAAAAAAAACAAATTGCAGGCTGGGCATTCTCCGCCCCCCAAAAGTGCATTTCTATGGTCGTTTCTGACAGGTATCCGAGTTTTTATTTGTTTTTATTATTATTATTATTATTTTTTAAATTTTATTTATACAATCAATTCATGACTCCATCTATTCGTGGTCGTTTGTGATAGGTATCGGGGGCAAGTCCCCACTTTACCTGATTCTTCATTTCTGGCCGTTGATTTCCATGATCGGTTGGGAATGGAGGATCCGGGTACGTGGGACTTGGTCCCCGAGGGGGTGTGGGGCGGTGGAATCGGATAGCTAGGGCAGCCATGATTTTTTTTGTTTTTTTTGTTTTTTGGGAAACCATCAAAATTATCCCAAATAGGAGAGTGGAGAGTAGTGCTGGGAGACAATATGTGGCCATCGTATAACTTGGGCCTCGCTCCACAACTTTCGAAATGTGCAAAACTAAAGTGAATCTACCGCTAGAACATGGAAAGATGCACCACAATGATTTTTGTCTTTTATGCATGTAGACAGTTGTAGTGGAGCGAGACCCCTTTTCGCAAACAGCAACGCCATCCGACAACAATTTGAATGCATCTGGACAGGAAAGCTGTCCGCGTGTGTGTGTGTGTGTGTATGTGTGTGTGTGTGTATGTGTGTGTGAGAGAGAGAGAGAGAGAGAGAGAGAGAGAGAGAGAGAGAGAGAGAGAGAGAGGTAAATGCATCTATATCTGTATGTGTTGTATGGATGGATGGGTCGAGAGGGTTCTCGGGCGACGGACTCAACCACTGGCAGTGGCAGCCTTCGATACAATGTATGTTAGGAGAAACGAGTCGTGGACCGCCGGGATCTGAACACGTCCGACTCGGCTAATTGAACAGCAAGAGCACTTGTCCATTTCACATTGGGGGCAAGTGCACTTGCTCTCCCTGATGCCGTTTGCGCGCCCGTCTCTCTCTCTCTCTCTCTCTCTCTCTCTCTCTCTCTCTCTCTCTCTCTCTCTCTCTCTCTCTCTCTCTCTCTCTCTCCTACCAGCACATTACACAAGAGGATTTCAAATTTGAATTTGAAGAAAGCAACAGCAGCATAGAGATACCCAATGAAGAAACGGATGATGTAACCGTTTTGAGGACGTGATGGACGAACTACATCAGCAAATCACAACCAGAATAGAACGCAATCTCATCATAGCTGCCATTTGCTATACGATATTTTCCCCCCTGTGACGAAAACTTACCGTTCCCCCTTTGTCACACACACACACACACACACACACACACACACACACACACGCACAGACACAGACAGACACAGACTTCTCCTGTTTTTGTTCGCTTGCCAGTGTGTGTGTGTGTGTGTGTGTGTGTGTGTGTGTGTGTGTGTGTGTGTGTGTG